CTAAACAGCAACTTCAATTAGGGTACAATATTCAGCAATCAAATATGTATTTATCAATCATTGGACACCTATTTGGAAGTTGAAAACAAACATTTTAGCATTACAACAATTATTAAATGATCGATATGTTTTTATTTTAAATTATTAAATGATCAATATGTTTTGATTTTAAATGTAGCCAGAAACTTAATCAGAAAGTATCAACAGAACTTGACAAGGAGTATTAACTTTAACTTCAAGGAGTATTAACTTTTATTAACCCAACTCCAAACACTGAATTTATTGAGAGCCATAGCAGTATAGAGGACACATACACATATACACTTATAATTGTGCAACTGCACCAAGCACATCTCTATTACTCATTCATCCATGCTTCCTTTTCCACTCCAACGTTCCCATAATTCCTGCCTACTAAAAGCTGCACTGATATATTCGCTTACCCCGATAGGCCTACCCTTGTGAAAAAGAAGTGCACTTAATTATATTGAAAGTGTACTTTTTGTGTAATTCAAATCTTAAAAGTATACTTTTTAAAAAGTGCACTTGCAGATAATATAATACAATTATAATTAACGGCCACTTAAGTGTATTTAAAGAGAGTACACTTTAATGACAATATTTCTTAACACTCTTAAGTGCACTTTTTAAAAATGCACTTTATAATAATGTGTAATTAAGTTTCACTTAAACATACATTTGACATAATTATGATTTTATAGTGTTTTAAATAAGTACACTTATTCTGATATATTTACCAATATACTAAAGCACATGTAAAATCATTTTAATTTCAACTTAAGTGTGTTGCCCAAAATTACATTTGTTAATGTATTTTAAATGTATTTAGTCTATATTATATACTGTGTGCACTTGAAACTTCAATAAACTTTCTTAGTATACTCCAGTAAAACTTATTGTTGACATTTTCATCTTTCATCACCACTCTATGAACTCAACCACAAGTTTAATTTTCTACATAACATTTGACATAAAGTGTAATTTGTAATTT